AGGTCTGCAACCTTAAACACTCAAAGAGCCATTTGGACCTGTTTCCCACAGAAAAGAAAACACTGGGAGCCACAAAACCTGGGTGGGCGTGGCCAACTCGACATCATTCACTGCCACCAGTCACATGACCCCCCCAGCCATGCCTACCAGCTGGTCATTAGGGCAGAGTACCAGTTGTTAAAAAACACCGGGAACCACATAACTCTTTTGACATCTCTCTCTCTCCCTCCCTCCCTCTGTCTCCCCTTCTCTCTCTGTATATCTCTCTCTCTCTCTCTCTCTCCCACTCTCTCTTATCTCTCTGCCTCTGCCCTGGCTACTTCTCCATACCCTGCCATCACCCAAGGCGAGGAGTGACTGGGAGGGGAGGGTGAGGGGCGAGGCCAGCCAGTGGTGGGATCACCCAACAGGGAGCCACAGCAGAGGGCCCAAAGAGCTGCAGGCAGCTGCGGAGCCGCAGTTTGCTGACACCTGCACTAAACCATCATATATCCGGGCTTAATGTATCATTCCTTGATTTGAAACAGACATCATTTATACTACATCAGCTTTCATATTAGCATACTGTGGCAAATGAGCATAGCCTTTACGTTCCATAAATCAGGGGTCCCCAACCCCTGGCCTGTGGACTTGTATCGGGCTGCAGCATCCCAGAAACTGGGCCATGCAAACAAGTGAAGCCCCATCTGCATGATGCAGACAGCATGCGAAACGATGCTTCCTCTCCACGGAATTGGTCCCTGATGCCCAAAAAGTTGGAGGCCACTTCAGTGGTAGGTTTCAAAATTTTTTACTACCAGTTCTGTGGGTGTGGCTTGGTGGGCATGGCATGACTTGGTTGGCGTGGCTTGGTGGGCATGGCAGGGGAAGGATACTGTAAAATCTCCATTCCCACCCCACTTCAGGGGAAGGTTACTGCAAAATCCCCATTTTCTCCCGATCAACTGTGACTTGGGAAGCAGAGAATAGATTGGGACGGGCCAGTCAGAATTTCCGCTACCAGTTCTCCAGAACTGGTCAGAACCTGTTGAAACCCACCTCTGGGCCACTGCCATTAACTATGTTTTATAACTTAACATTTGTGCAAATCCAGCCCTCCAGACGGCAGAGAACGAGGTGGCTGGATGGAGTCACTGAAGTAGTAGGTGTGAACTTAAATGGACTCCAGAGATGATAGAGGACAGGAAGGCCTGGAGGAATGTTGTCCATGGGGTAGCGATGGTTCGGACATGACTTCACAACTAACAACGACAAATAATACAGATAGTCCTCGAATTATGGCTATAATGGAACCTGCCTATCATAGTCATAACTTGAGATGGCTATAGGGTGGGTCAGTCACAGGATTGACTCAATTTTACAACCATTTTTGTGACTGTTGTTAAGCGAATGCTGTGGTGGTTGACCAAATCAATGGTCCACTATGGGCACAGTTTTGGCCAAAGCCAAAAGTTTTCAGGAAAACCATCATAAAATGCAATCACATGACTGTGGGATGAGGCCAACAGCCATAAATGAAACCTGGTTGCTGAGCACTTGAAGTGCAGTCATATGACCCAACTGTCAGAACTTTGAATATGGATCAAAAGTACCCCCTTAGATAGGTCCATTGGACAACCCATCGAATTGTTGTAAGATGCACAGCATGGCACAGGTTGTATCTGCAAATGAATGTGGAGGTAATAGAAAGTCTGAAGATAATTAAGTTCAAGGCAAGGATGAAAAGGCATTTCATCAGCTGATAAGGTACCTTCTCATACAACTTGTTTTGCACATGCTCAGCATGGTCATAAAACTTTACAAACCAGCCCCAGCATGGATGTACCATGGCAGAATATGAACCCATTGTATGTTACAGGAAACGCAGCATGTTTATTCTTCTATGTACTGTTAATAAAGCTTGTGATGATCACACTAGCCTTCAGCAATTCTTTTCTTGGAAAGCTCTCATGACTAGCGCCCCCTGGAGGACATTTACAATTGGCATCAAGGTTTCCAAGAAACGGTCTGGAATTTTTTATTTTTTTTTTAAAAAAAGGAGATGGGACTGGAAGAGAATCCTGAGTTGGCCATCTACGGTTGTAGACTGGCTTCATCAATCAGACACCAAGGGACTAGGAAGATGCCTTAATTTCCTAGCAGTGCCTAGAAATTTTAAAAGTTTCAGCAGTAAAAGCTGACAGATGAGTGCTAGTTACTCAGACCAGATGGATTTTGCTGGAAAGCCTTTAAAATGATAGTTGATTGAAAAATGGAGCTTTGACGGCACAAAATAAGCAACTGCAGGTTGGAAGCAGAAAAAGGAAATGCATTTGTTGTGAATTCAGATGAAGTGAACATATGTTGTGTGTCAAAACCTGGTTGATTATTGTAGTTTGTTCTGGTTTTGTCCTTAATCATGAATATGACAGCATTATGGATAAAGAAATAAAAGAGATGAAGTCTGATTGCTTTATGAAATTTAAGATCTAATTCAATTTGTGCATTTGGAACTCCTTGCCATTGCAAAGGGAATGGCAGATTATTGTCAAAGTCTGTGGAGATTCTAAGTCACCCAGATCATGGTTGTCCCAAACCGTCTTTTTCAAGAGGCCACTTCTTTGTTTTTCCTTGGAGCCATTTCTCTGGCTCCAAGGTGGGGCCCAAGAGAGAGTATAAATCTCTCTCTCTCTCCCATGTGCTCATTTTGCCCACGACCTCAAACCATGTGGTCCTGTCCAGTGGTGGGTTTCAAATTTTTTTACTACTGGTTCTGTGGAAGTGGCTTGGTGGGCGTGGCATGGCTTGGTAGGTGTGGCTTGGGCATGGCAAGGATACTGTAAAATCTCCATTCCGACCCCACTCCAGGGGAAGGATACTGCAAAATCCCCATTCCCTCCTGATCAGCTGGGATTTAGGAGGCAGAGAATAGATGGGGGTGGGGCCAGTCAGAATTTTTACTACCAGTTCTCCAAACTACTCAAAATTTCCACTACCGGTTCTCCAGAACTGGTCAGAACCTGCTGACCAGGACCCATCTCTGCTCCTGTCCACCATTAAACCATCTTTCCAAATAGCCTCCATGTTTCCAGTGTATTTCTCCCCACTTGGAACTGAACCTAGGTGGACATTGGACATTTCTTCCAACACAGTCTTAGAAAAACAGATGTTTGGGAGAGGAAGGAGGTGGGGCTTTGTGCATTTTAGCTTTTAAACTCTAACTAGGTTTTACAAAAAAAATGCATAGAATAGGAGTTGAAAGGGACCTTGGTGATCTTCTAGTCCAACCCCCTGCCCAGGCAGGAAACCCTACACCAAATAGGGTTAAGACAAATTGTTATCCACACATCTTCTTAAAAATTTCCGGTGTTGGAGCATTCACAACTTCTGCAGGCAAGTTGTTCCACTGATTAATTGTTCTGTCAGGAAATTTCTCCTTAGTTCTAAGTTGCTTCTCTCCTTGATTAGTTTCCACCCATTGCTCTTTGTCCTGCCTTCAGATGCTATGGAGAATAGCTTGACTCCCTCTTCTTTCTGGAAACCCCCGAGATATCGGAACACTGCTATCATGTCACCCCTAGTCCTTCTTTTCATAAGGCTAAACATATCCAGTTCCAGCAACCGTCCTTTATGTTTTATCGAGTCCCCTAATAATCTTTGTTGCTCTTCTCTGCACTCTTTCTAGAGTCTCAACGTATTTTTTACATCGATTTCTTGGAAATGCTGGAGTACTGGTGTTGTTTCCTCTCACAAACACCTCGCCCCTCGAGGTGGTCCTCGATTTATGATCACTATTGAGTCCAAAATTTCTGTTGCTAAGTCAGAAAGTTGTTAAGTAAGTTCTGCGACATTTTACCACCTTTCTTGCCACAGTTGTTAAGTGAATCACTGCAGTTAAGTTAGTAACATGGTTACCATGAATCTGGCTTCCCCATTGAATGTGCTCGTCAAAAGGTTGCAAAGAGAGATATTTGTTAACTGAATTTTGCCCCATTTTATGACCTTCTTTGCTACAGTTAAGGGGATTACTGCAGTTCAGTAACCTAGTTAAGTGAATCAGGCTTCCCCATCATCTTTGCTTATCAGAAGTTTGCGAAAAGTAATCACATGATCCCGTCGTATGAACCAGTCGCCAAGCATCTGAATTTTGATCACATGATCGTGGGGATACTTCAAAGGTCGTAACTGTGAAAAAAAAACGGTCATGTGCCATTCTAACTTTCGTCACTAAATGAATTGTTATAGGTCAAGGACTATCTACTATCTATCTGTTCTCCACTGCTTCCATCCTGGTAAGAAATTTGTAAAATAATTAAATTGTAGGGGTTTCAGTGAAAAAAATCTGAAAGGGAACATTATTGGCACCAAAGAAAGATTGGGGGTGGTTTTAACACAACGACCCTGTGAGGTAAATCGGAGTGAGGGAGCGACAAGGCTCCTGTTCCGCCTCAGGTTGCAGCGTCTCGCAGAGAAATCCCCTCCCCCACCCCCACCCCCGTTCCCGGCCTCCACTAACAACGCGTCACTAGCAACCAATTCCTGGCAAGCTTCTAACTTTACTCCTCCCCTACTAAGGAAGCCGAAAGGAGGGCAATATTCTTCAAAATAACAGACGCGTTTAGAACGGCCTCTTGGAAAGAGGAGGGGTCGCCGCGTGCCTCGGGACTTCCCCGCCCCTTTTCCCTCCTCCCTCCTCCGCGCGTGCAATCGGGTCCCAAGAGCGAGCCGGTGACGTCACTCCCCCTTCGATTCACGTGCCGTTCATCTTAAAAAAAAAAAAAATCATGCCGCGCCCCCTTGGTCCTTCCCCTCCGAGCGCGCGCGCGCGCAAAGAGACACACGGCTTTCCTTTCCAGCCAATCACGAGCCGGGCCGGTCTATATCTCCTCCCCCTTGTCCAGAGACTCGCGCTTTCTCCTCCGGGACGTGAGCTGAGAGGTGGGGGTAAGGAAAGAGCCGTACGCGTGAACTAGAGCGAGGGAAGAAGCGAGTATCAAACTTTCAGGCATGAACCAATAATCTTCCTCGGACGGGGGCGGGACTTCCGCCGGGAGCCGGAAGAGAGGCTCGTGGGTCTCCCTGGCGTTCTCTTCTCCCTTCTCTCTCTCACTCTCTCTCTCTCTTCCCTCATCCTCATATGTGAGCGAATTGTCCCCGCTGCTTCTTGGCGTCGAAACGTTCCGGGGCTCGGACCCGCCGCCGCCGCCCCTGCCTTCTCCTCCTGCCACCGCTGCTCCGCGCTCTTCCCCTCCCGCTTGCCGCTTCTCCCTCCTCCTCTTCCTCCCTGCTGCCGCCGCCGCCGCTTCTCCTCCGCCTGGGCGCCGCCGCCTCTGCCCCTCTCCCCGCTCTCTCTCTCTCTCTCTCTCTTTCTCTCTCTCTCACCCCTTTCCTGGGACTTGGCGGAGGAGAAGGAGGCGGCGGCGGCGGCGGCGGCGGCGGTGGGGAGCAGTAGGAGCAGCAGCAGCGGCGGCGGCAGCAGCAGAATTCCCAACCCGACTTCCGAGCGAGATTCCTCCGGCCCTCCGGGGCCTTTCTTAGTTTTGGGGTGTGACAGGTGAGTGAGGCCCCTTTTTCCTCCGGCCGCCGTTTCTCTCCCCCCTTTCCCCACCCGCCATTTTCTCACCCGAGGCCCTCACGGGGGCGGGGCTGCCCTCAGCCGATGGGTCCGGGTTTTAGGCCTGGTTCTGCCGGCAGCTCCGCACTGCGTCTGCTCGGGTGGCCTCCGCGGGAAGGAAACGCCGGGTTTGGGATGGGTCTCCTTCCCCCGCTTCCCTCCTCCTCTCCCTTCCCTGGGGCTTCCTTTGCCGGCTTCGTGTTTCCGCAAAGCCCTGGGGGTGGGGGGGGGTGGGGGGGGGAAAGAAAGCTGTGGCCCCAAATTGTCCTATGGCTGCTGGCCTCATTTCCTACCCCGAGGTGGGAATCCCGGCGTTTCGGTTCACTTTCTCTTTCTGTTTTTCCTTCTGCCATTGAGAGACCCTTGTGACTTTCTTGATAGCCTTTAAAGTTTATGGGGTAACACCAAACTCCAAAACTCTAAAGCTCTTGGACTGACACACCTCTCTTCTCACGCCTTGCTTCGTTTGCCACTTAAAGGAATAGCAAAAAGGTGGCTTCTCCCCTCCGCCCCCACCCCCCAACGCTTAAACTGGAAAGGCTTTTAATTCATTGGCCTGCCTGAACTCTGGTTGTGTGTGTAAGCTTTGTTTTGTATTGCTTTAAAAAGGGGAGTGTGGGATGCCTTGTACAATAACACCTTTTTCTTCTTACGCCTCTTAAATTGGGAAAGCAAAAGTGGCAGATTTCTACAGATTAACTGCTGACGTAGGTATCATGTTGGGCTCTGTTTTGGCTTTTTTTTTTAAAAAAAAAAAAGATTGGTTAAAAGAAATGAAGATACATGTATCGCAGTAGTAGACTGAAAACTGCCTACTAGGATTATCAAAACTTAACCATCAAAAGTCATCAAAAAGGGAAATGTATTTTACCTTGGTTGCATGTCACTCCCACAAGAACTGAAAGAAGTATCATTAGGAATCCTATCTTTTCCTTCTTGTTGGGCTTATTCTCCGTGCGTATATCAATACATATGTGAATATAAGCCACTTATTTTAGAAATAAAGGAGGTATGCTTACAATGGAAACAATTCATTTCTCAGACAAGAGAAACTGTCTTTAATGATATAAATGTTTAATCAACAGGTTATTGAGAATGTTAGCTATATTCTATATCGGGGGTCTCCAATCTTGGCAACTTTAAGACTCGTGGACTTCAACTCCCAGAATTCCTTAGCCAGCTTTGCTGGCTGAGGAACTCTGGAAGTTGAAGTCCACGAGTCTTAAAGTTGCCAAGGTTGGAGACCCCTGTCCTATATGGTACTTGGTTAAATGTCATCATTGACAGTGGTGCACTTGTAATAAGAGTTTGCAAGGTCAAAAAGCAATATATGTGAGGTCATTTGCTAACATGTCAAAGTGTTTTGGCATAAAGAGAATTTTTTTCCATCTAGAGTATTAACTCTGACTGGATAAAAATCTCTGTTCCATTTAATATGAAAATAAGTAGCTGACATTTTCATTAATCTCAGTCAGGCGTCTGTCAAGGACCAAAGTAGCAGAGTTCTAGAAAAATCAGCAAGGTTGAAATGCAGCACTGACCTCGAGATAGTCTAATCCTTGCTATGTCAAGCACTGACCTCGACAGTCTAGTGACTAGACTCTAGTCCTTGGTATGTGCTCTTTATAGTCTGCAAGTAGCAGTTTTCTGTCAGAAGCGAGTTTGCAGGAGACACGTTAGGTCCTCCAGCAAGTGTTTCTAGACTACTTCTTTAAACTTTTCTTCTCCATAACCATCAGTTCCAATTGAGAGGATATATGTAAGTATCTGTAGTCTAAAGAGTTATGTGATACAATTATATAGCTAATTACTGTATGTTTATAGAAAAATTGCTGACCATTGAATTTGGTTTCTATTCTGTTACAAATCTAGTATAGTAAATCTTTTAAAGACATAAAGATGCCATTCATCATACAGATGAATGGCATAATTTTTTATGAATTAATATTTCCTTCATCGGGGGCATCCAATAGAAAGGATTTTAATATCAAATTTATGCCTTAACAAATCTGTTATATTTAAGGTGGTCCAAGACACTGAGCTGGTTTTACTACAACAAAAACTGCTACTTTTTTGTAAGTGATTATATCTGACAAATTGCAAATTGCTAAATAGATCCCACATTGTCTTCTAATTATAATTTGTATTTGAAATGGATGTCATGCATAGAAGTTGGCGTCACCATTTTAAGCATATTTATTTAGATGTAGTTCTGATTTACTTCTATGGTATTTTCTAGTTTGTAGTTTTAAATTGATAAAATCTAATTTATTTATTTGCCTATTTTTTGTGTCCAACCACTACATTCTGATAGTATTTGTATAGTACTATATGCGTTTGTATCTATAATATTTTGAAATATTTTTAGAATAGTTAATAATATTAGGCTAAAAGCCAATCAATATATAGAGAATGTTAAGAAAAATCTTGATCATACAAGGCTTGCTTGCATGGCATGATTTACTAAAGGATGTAATATTTTCTCAGTATAAGACAGAAATAAGTTTTGTTTCAACAGGAGATGTTGAAAGTCATGAATTACATATTGTATTGAAAATCATAAATACTGAAAGTTTTATATCCGTGTATCTTAATCTTGGCAACTTTAAGCTGCATAGACATCAACTCCCAGAATTCAAAGTTGCCAAGGTTCAGAAACGCCATTTTATGTAATATATAAATGAGTGTGAAATAGTAAATTTAATTGCTGTTAAACATGAGAGGCTTTTAGCAATTTTGGTTGTATCTTCTAATAATTTTTAAATATTTTCTGAAAATCTAGGTACAAATAGCAGCGCAACTGTGTAAGATAGGATTTAAAGCCTAGTATAGTTGACAACTAAGTTTATTCCTTTTAAGTAACACTTTTAGTATTTTTGATTGTAAAATATATGGTAAGTTGTGGAGACATATTGAATCACTACTATATATGATTTTAATAGTTCCAGATCTTTTCCTGCTTGAAATTGGCATTCCTTATTGTCTTCTCTTGAAGAGTTATTTCTTGCAAAATACATAAAGTATGCTTTACGGAACAAGCACATCTTGCATTCTTTTCAATAGTTGATTCACATCTTTAAAAGGTAACCTAATATTTTTTTCTAACATTTGTTACTAGTGGCTCTTCAGGGATTGGAGAAAAAATGGGGACTAATCAATCATATGTGCTAGTGACTCAATATTATGTGAAGTAAGTTATTAGATTTAGTAGCAGTGGCAGGGAGTATTAAGAAATACTTGGCACATATATAGCTTAGTTCTGGTTTGATATTGCCAAAGGATTACATTGTTTTTAATGAGATTCATTACACACACACACACACACACACACATGAATATTGTAGGCCATAATAATAAGTGGTGTGTACTATGTATAAGTAAGATACAATTTATTTTTAGCTTATGATCAAGTTTTTTGCCTCTGAGTAAGCTGCAGTTTATATTTAGTGTGGTAAATAAGCTGAAAAAGATAAAGTTTTGTTTAACCTTAAATGTTACCAGAAAGAACAAATGATCAAACTATGTGTACCAACATCTTAACACTTGACAAGTTAACTGGAATCTTTTGCTACTGCCTGCGATGACCAGTATGTAAATCCCTTTGACTCCCTAGGCCAGGGGTCTTCAAACTTGGCAGCTTTAAGACTTGTGGACTACAACTCCCAGAATTCTCCAGCCAGCATAGCTGGGAGTTGAAGTCTACAAGTCTTAAAGCTGCCAAGTTTGGGGACCCCTGCCCTAGGCATAGCAAATCAATATGAAATCACAGTCTTGAATGTGAATACAATTTTTATAGCTCTAAGCTTTGTTTACCTTGACTAGTTGATACCCGTACCATAATAAAAACACAGTTTATTATATAGCAAAGGCAACGGACATTTTGGAATATGAATGTAGTTGAGGGCAGCATTGGATCAGGGAAAGCAGTGAATAGCAACATACATCTGCTTTGTGATAGCCTTTTTTAAAACAAGCAACTCTTTACTTCCGTGTCCCATCCTATCCCCAAATTGGTTCCAAGTAGAAAAATATTAAAATTGAACTGAGGGACACAAGATTCTTTACCCCTACCACATAATAGCTCAGTTCTTTAGTTACTTTGGATCAGTCCTGTATGAGTGATTTAAAATGAACTAAAGGTCTGAGCTAAAACTTTGATGATTTCTCAGCCAGCCTTTGTATCTATATTAGTACCGTAAAATGAAATTTATAGTAAATAAATTGTATCCAAGGTAGGAAGATTTTTGTTTTTCTTGTAAAAACAATGGCTACATATATTGGTTCTGCTGGCCTAAAATGGCAGGCAAGTCAACATGTTTCTGAAAAATATGCAGAAATTCTGCTTCATTTTGCAAAATGTTGACAGCCAACAGCACAAATGTATGTGATACACGAATGGTTATTATAGTAGCAAGTTAATAGCTAGAAATACTTGATAGAGGAAACTGACTTCAAATAATAGGCTTCTAAGGTATGTATAATTAAAAAGGTCTAGGTGTGTTGCCTAAACTATAGTTTAGTTTGGTTTTTTATAAATGTATGACACATAGTTATGTTATTTCCCAAAATTAAAAATACTTTTGAATTATGTTTCCTTGAAAACATCCAGTTTTAACATTATGAATTTACAAAGTTTTAGCATACTTAGTTTTATACTCAGTAATGTTAATATTTACTGATTCTCTACAGGTTAATATGTGAATTTTAAAGAAATACTCTAGAATTGCTTGTTTAAATAAAAATTGGTGGCTTTTCAGAAAGTTAGGATAGATTTTTAAAATGTTTACCGCACAACCTGCTTAAGGCTAGTATTTCTTGTTTGTGATTTTTAAAAATATGTTCTTTCCTTAGCTACCTCAATCTGAATTGATCGAGTATCAGAAATACATTTGAAACACTATGAACCTTCCCTTGAAGTTTGCTTCACAAACAAAATGTCA